CTTCTTTGCCTATTAGCTCTGCTGTAACCACTTGCTCACTATAGTGGGCAGTTGCAAAACAATAATAGCATTAGCTCAACATACTTACAAGGCCAGGTCAACATTTATTATTTACCAAATTGCATGTCATCTGGAGTTAAAGTAAACCGACAAATATTGCAATTAATACATACTCATATTTCTATCCAAGTTCCCATTTAGAAATGTAAATCTAAATTATTATAATAACCAATAAAAAAGTACAGGATGCCATCATATGTAACTGGTAATTTGTAAAGCACAAGGATGCTACCTTTTAACGGATAGTTTTCTATGTTCACTGATAAATGTATAATGTTACATATCATATTGAATTAATATTTGCTAGGCACAGTATATGCATATTACATATCATGCCTAATCAATGTTTATTATGACAGTTTTAATTGAAAACTCTAAGAAAAAGTGTTCATGCGATCTTGGATTACAAACAGAATGTGGCCAACTGCAATGGATGTGGACAATTAACTTCCTACTGGAGAAATCTGGAAAGTAGACTCAATCTTGTATCACAGATATGTCCACAACATATTTGCTAGTCCTTTGACTTTTCAGATGAAGTATACTAGAACGTAATCAACATTTATATGAGAAGGTTCGCTGCAGTGCACGTTATGCCTAATAAGATGATTATGAGACAATTTAATCTACTAACTGCAGATAATCGATTAGGTGCTACTCCACAAATAATTCCAAGTGATTGTTGATATATTTTGCTAAGCTACCTTAAGTCTGCTGCACTGAAAAGTGAGAAACTCCCACTCGGCATGACTTCAATCCTCGAATTCCGGCGTGGGAACCCTGATGGCCGGAATGCCCCACTTCGTTTACGTACCAATGATACCCATTTCTCGAATGTCTGCGCTGAGATATCACCACCAAATAACAAAGAAACCACCTACAAACACAAGCAGGAATTTAGAAAAGATATCCAGTAGATCCGTAACCCGGGCTTCTGAGGTTATATTCGGTATGGAAATGTACATGAGCAACACAATAGAACTGGCAACAGGAAATTAGACAAATTGACACTTACACGAGAGGATAGGTTTCGATCTCTTTCCTCGTCGTTTTCCTGCAAGAAATGTAAAACTCTTATATGTTCTTGTTTCATGCAGAAATAAATAGTTAAAACACACTGATAGCGTGTTCCATTCACAGGTTATGGTTTTGATGGCAAGAGGAGACAAAAAATACAAAGGTACTTTCTAAGTTGAACTAGACCGAAAATTTGGACATCAGCTTGTCAAGATTCTCAACCTACGCAGTGCAATCATGATGAATTCATTATTAACACGAAAAACACTATTGCTTTGGCACCTTCTGAACGGCATGGGTTTGAGGAATGATAAAATTAATGTCTTACTTACAATGAAAAGTTCCCTTGAATTTGGCACATGTCCTGCCAAACTGCGACTTTTCTATCAGAGCCAGAAGCTACAGACTTTAAGTAAAACCGAATGCTAACATTGATTGAATCAGGAGATCAAGCATTTAAAAATGTTACCCATGATTGAACAGAAGGTACAACAGAATGCTAGGATTGATTTGATCAGGGGGTACCAAGCGGAATATATCCCCCCAATGAATCGCACGAAGCAAAAAGTTGCTGCGCCTCTCATCAAAGAAGGTGCATTTTGCGCAAGAACGAGGACCACATCAGCCTGAATCGCAAGATTCTCAATCAACGCAGTGCAAATCTGCCCCCCAAAAAAAACAAAACTACTAGCGCATTTCATCTCCGCACGCCACCTCGCCACGCAGATTAGCCAACGCCAACCGAGACGCCGAGGCAGATCGAGATCCCTCCCGGACATCGGGACATGCGCCCTCACTCTACGCCCCCCAAACCCTCCGGCCTCCGCTCGCCACCAATCCAAGAGCCACCGCACCGAAGCGTCACAACCCAGATCAGATCAGATCACACAGCACCGAGCAGGAAAAGAGGAAATGGAGCTCGGCTCACCCCGGGAGGAACCGCCGGCGCGTCGCGCTCCTCCTCCTCCTCCTCCTCTTGCCGCGCCTCCCGCTGTTCCATGGGAGGGGGCCGCGGCGCAGGTAGCCGTTGACGACCCCAGGCGCGCGGTGTGATATACTGGGTGCGTGGCGATGGTGGTGGTCGGCTTTTGCTGCTGGCTGGCTCGCTCCCGGAGAGAGAGAGACAGAGAGAGGGAGAGCGCGGGGGGCCGTCAAATCCGACGGAAAAGGCGGGATCCCTCCTCCCCTCTCTTCGCCGCTCCGCCCTTTCCGTCTAGGTGTCGGCTTTTCCCGCAAATGGGGAGAGAGTGGCCAGTGGGGGGAGACGAAAGCAGAGCGAGAGAAGGGCGGGCGGATCAGTGCAGTCGGAAGAGAAGGGGGCAGTTGCTGAACAAACTGAACTGCTTTTCCGCTTTCGGCAACGGCAACGGAATCCCTGGAAGATTGGTTGTCAAAGGCACGCAGAATGCATATTTTTTATAGCAAGGATTGGTGAATCGCGACCGTCCGATTGATGATCGACCGATCCCAAGCGGCGCGCGGTCGAGGGAGAATTCAGCGAAAGCGTTTTTGCGTGCCTGATACCCGCACGAACCGGCAAAGTGGCAAACAGCTTTTGCTGAATAGAATGTAATAGAGATGGTATGAAACTTCGAATCAGACACTACAACGATTTTTATATTTCTTTGGTTATTACTCCCTCCGTTTCGAAATGTTTGACACCGTTGACTTTTTAGTACATGTTTGACCGTTCGTCTTATTCAAAAAAATTTGTGAAATATGTAAAATTATATGGCTACATAAAAATATATTTAACAATGAATCAAATGATATAAAAAGAATTAATAATTACTTAAATTTTTTAAATAATACGAATGGTCAAACATGTACTAAAAAGTCAACGGCGTCAAACATTTCGAAACGGAGGGAGTACTTAAAAGCCGCCAAAAGTTAAGAACGTAATAGAAGGTGCACAGCTAGGTACTGCTGAGGATTAGAAAAATGAATGAAGGTTATAATTGGCAAGGACTTCACATACCTTCCAATAGTGTTACACTTACGCATTAAGCTTGCATGACAGCAACAGCAACAGTTCCACTGGTTAATTAGTTGATTTCATTGCCACGTGGTATTCAGGAGGATTCTTTTATCATCTTCATATTTTAATATATGACGTTGTTTTTTTTACAAACATTTGATCATTAGTTTTATTTAAAAAATTTATGCAAATATTAAAAAAATTAAGTAATGCTTAAATAATATTTAACGATAAATTAAGTTACAATATAATATAATAATATATAATTTTTTAGTTAGATGAATGATGAAATGTATCTCAAAAATTCAACGATATTTTATATTAAAAAATAGAGGGAGTATGTAGTTCCCTTGTCGACTTTTACTATTGCAATGGAGATCATTAACTTATTGTTAGGCTAGTTCCCTTGCCGAGCTTTATCTGCTTACCAAAATAATGTCAATTTTCTACTTGAAACTTCGTCTTATTTGTTTTGAGCTAAATGTAATATTTAGATGGTGGAAGAAAATCCTGAATGCTCATGAAAACATCAATAGATGTGGCGATGGAGTCGTGTATGTATGGCTCTGTGTAACATATTTTAAATTATGGTGTCAACAATTATGAATACGGATGAACTTTTCATGAGAATTTAGTTATACCAAGAAGTTTATCATACGTTTCTCTCTGATCACACGTGTTAAGGGTACACTCGGTCACTCGCAAATGTGCATGTTTGAGTCTCCACAATCATAAGAAAAAAATAAGATTTATTTTTCTCCTAAATAAATTGCATAATATAAATATTTAACAACACTATAACAATATGAAATCGTAAAAATAGAAAATTACCATAAAAATTATAAACAAAAATATGTAGAGGTCCCATTGTAGTATTGCATCCTAATGAAACTTTTTAAATACTATGTATCTTTCTGATAATGTTAGCGTCGCAAATATATAACTTTAGGAAAATGGTTAAGTCTATAGTTTTGTGAGAAAAACTCTTAAAATTTTCTGTTGTTTTGCAAAATATACTATTTTCTTTTGTTTTGCAAAGTATGTAGTTTGGTACTGTTACATGTTGCGAAGAAATTGGACTAGTTTAGTTTTGTTTTGAGTTGGCATATCCTTGGACTAACAATACATATCATAGATATGGTTTTTTAAACATTCCAGTTTAGACACACGTTGCTGTCAATGCTTAGTAGTACATGACTAGCCATACTATAACTATTCTGGATAACACTTATCCAGAAATCGCTTTGCTCCAAGGCTTTGATTTCTCTAAATTTCTTCTTGATTTGCCTAAGTTACGGCAGTAGGACGTCCATTTTAGCATAAATAACTGGTATTTGTGTTGACCTCTACGGTTGCTAATACAAGAACCAAATCACTAAATCAGTTTCTGCTTGAAGTACTAAGCTGATGCCTTATCATAAGACCGGTCAAAATATATTCAATAATATACATTGTTTGGAACCTGTCAGTATTACAAAAGGACTGTTTAGTTTTGTCAAAACAGTTTTTTTTTTTTGGCGGGGAAGTTTGATCAATAGTTTGTTTTGTCCAACTATTTCATCCAGCTGTTGCCTGTGGCTATTTGTGTAAACCGTGCTTTGTTCGAGCCACTGATAATTTCACCTGCTTTGCCATTCAAAGGGGCTGTTTAGTCCCAAAAAAACTTTTCTAAAAAACATCACATAAATCTTTGTACACATACATGGATCATTAAAATATAGATTAAAAAACAACTAATTACACAGTTAGAGAGAAAATCGTGAGATGAATCTTTTGAGCCTAATTAGTCCATGATTAGTAATAAAATGCTACAGTAACCAATATGTGCTAATGATAGATTAATTAGGCTCAAAAGATTCGTCTCACGGTTTCTAGATGAGTTATGAAATTAGTTTTCTCATTCGTATCCGAAAACCCCTTCCGATATCCGGTCAGACGTCTGATGTGACACCAAAAGTTTTTATTTAACCAACCAAACAGCAAACAGCGTTACATTTGCATCCCAACTTTACACGAGTCATGCGAGAAACAAATCCTCCGCAAAGCGATGAACTCTGGACACAATGAACTGTCAAAGCCAGATGGACATGGTTGCCGTGTGCCTCCAATTCTTCGAAGTCCAAGCAACAAATGCGGCGACAGCAACCCAACTCTGACGGCGAGAGCTCACACGCTGGCACACGCGCGCTCTAGCGACTAGACACGCGCATCCACATCCTCCGCGGCCGCCGTCGTGTCCGCCACGCCACCTTTGCGCTCCGGGGCGGCGGCGAGGGCGACGACGCTGGCACGGCAGAGCGGGCAGGTGGTGTGCAGCCGCAGCCACCCGTCGACGCACGACGCGTGGAACCGGTGCCCGCACCGCGGCAGCGCGCGGCACTCGTCGCCGTCCCTCAGCTCCGCGATGCACACCGCGCACTCCGCCTCCGCCTCCGCCTTCTCCCCGCCGGACGAGCGCACGACGAACACGGGCAGCGACGCCAGCACGTCGTCCCGGGTCCTCACAGAGACGGCCGCCGCGGCCGGGGGCGGAGCCGAGGCGGAGGACGACGCCTCGTCGTCGTCGTCGTCGTCGTCGCTGCGCGCGGAGGCTGCAGCGGCGGCGCGCTTGCGCGAGAACACCCTCCAGAAGTAGAGGTAGACGAGGAGGACGAGCGCGACGTTGACGACGACGAGGCAGCCCGTGAGCGCGCGGCCGTGCGGCGCCCAGAGCGGGGCGGCGGCGTCGGCGGTGGGCACGGAGTCCGCGTCCGTGTCACCGGAGACGCTCGAGCTCGTTCCCCGATCTGACATGGCGACAGGTCCCAAACTTCCAATTCCAAAGCTAACAGCTTCAGAAAAAAAAAGGTAACCCTGGACAAGAATTCCGGAATCGCTGGAACATAAACAGGAAATCTTTGGATAGAAAAAGAACCTCAATCACGGTGATTGGGGAAAAACTAAAAGGAGAGACTCAGAGGGCAGAAAGGAGAACTCACAAGCAAACAAGCTAGATGAGTACTGTACTAGACATGGAGTGTGTGTGGTCAAGAATGTGTTTGGGGAAATTCCATTTTTTTTTCTTTGTGCTGCTAATGGACACTGTTGAGCTAGGTTTGACTAAGTGTTATGATGACATCAGAGTATCAGATATTGATCGGTTATTGGAGGCCATGAACAGGCAAAAGTTATACTTAATGGATATACTAGTGCCTTAAAGTAGATTTTTGTGGAGTGAATTTCATGACTAGGTCAATTTTAGTAATGTTCTTTTGGGGTTCAAAACACAAAAAAACTACTAGGAACCAAATGCAATCAAAGGATTTAATTAGAGATGATGCTACAGATCAAGGCTACATAAATTAGGACCAACGTTTGATTTGCTCCATTGATTTAGGAAGATCTGGTCAGGTTTTTCTGTCAAAACTTCGGGCGATACAAAATTAAGGCATCGAGTAACGGCTTCTTGCATAAATTGAACTATGGCTTGACTAAAAGAGTTAGCCAGCGTTTAAACCGCTGCTCGCCAACTTGATTTACGAACAGACATTTTTTATTTTTCTACACCATACATGTGAGAACAATATTTCTCACCTTTCTTAGGAAGTTGCAAATATTTGTCAGATAAATTGCAATTTGACACGTACCTGTCTACTGTCTTGCAAATTCGTGCGGACCCTACTAGTCGGTAGGTAGCAAGTAGGCGATCGAACCTGTACTCCTGTACTAGCAAGTTGGGCTGGGCCTTTAGTCATTTAGAGCCCAAGCCTAATGGGCAATATGGCCCATACTCAGCTGTGCGGTATGTAGGAATAAGATCACTTTGACTCCCTCAACCGATCACGGAATCTAAATCGTATCCCTCAACTGCAATACCAGAAATCTTGACCCCCGAACTTGTAAAACTGGTGCAATTTGACTCTCTTGGTGGTTTTGGAGAGCGGTTTCACTGACGTGGCAGTGTTGACCTGATTTTTGTCCCACGTGGCATTGACGTGGCGCTTATGTGGCATTAATATAAAATATATATATGCGAGTCCATTTGTCATTCACCCAAAAAAAAAATTTTATGGGACCCACTGACATATAGGTCCCACATGTCATCATCTCTTATCCCTTCTTCCTCCTCCCTCTCCTCCCTTCTCTATCTCGCCACCTGCATCTTCCTCGCGGGCTCCGTCCTCATGGGCCTCGCCCCCAACTTCGCCACACTCCTCGCCGGCCGCTGTGGCGTCGGCGTCGGCTCCCTTGGCGTTCCTGCACCCGACGCCGCCGGTGCGGCGCATCGTCATCGCCGCCCTGGGGATCTACTTCTTCCAGCACCTCACCGGCATAGAGGTCGTGGTGCTGTACGGCCCGAGCATCTTCAAGGCGGCCAGCATAGCTAGCCGCAACTCGGTGCTCGCGGCGACGATCGGCGTGGGCGTAACCAAGACGGCGTTCATCATCGCCTCCCTTGATGCGTCTCAAGCTGGCGTCCCCGGCCGCTGTAGCCCGCCGCCGCTCCGCCTACTCCAGCAGCGCCATTAACGACACCCTCCCGCCGTTGCCGGAGCCGTGCATGGAGCAGCGACCATCCTTGTCGACGTCAGGAGCGGTTTCCTTTGAGGACGCCAGAGCCATGCCGCTGGGAAAGGAGTTTCCTCAAGTCCGTGCTGGTCGGCGCGTGAAATTTGGACAATTTGTCGTGGCTTATTTTGTTTTGTTTTTTCAATCTTCAATTTCTTGTTTCGAGATGTTGAACTGATGTAGTGGTTTTGGTTTTGAGCATTGTAGGATCTGTCGTCATTGTTTAGCTCGTGTATAGATGTGTCCCAGCACTCCTTTGCTTTTGGCTGCTGCCTAGCGGGCAATATTTGTCCTCTTCCCTATCCCCCTCCGAAGCAAGCCACCCTCTCCGCCATGGTTCCCCTTCCCGACGTGGCCAAACAGATAGAGCTGGAGCGCCCGCGCCGCCGCCGAGGGACCTGAGCTCCCGCGTCCTCCTAGTAACCAGCCAGCTCTGCCTTGGGCCCAGGCGGCTAGCCCTGGTGAGATTTGTGAATGTTTGGTCTCGTCAGTGGCTAGCTCCCCGGCGATGGTCGGCAGCATAGCGGCGGCGGCCATGGCGTAGTCTATCGGGAGGAGGAATGAAGCGAGGGGCATATCCGGCCTCCGGATCCGCAACTCCAACGGCCGCCCGCCCGCCGCTGCCGCTTCGTCCATCGCCCGCCGTCGTCGCCGCCGATCCGGACGCCGCTCCCCACGCGCGAAGAGAAAGAGGGAGAGATAGAGAGGGAGGAGAACGAAGGGATAAGAGAGGATGACATGTGGGACCTACATGTCAGTGGGTCCCACAAATTTATTTTGGGTGAATGATAAATGGGCTCCGCATATATATTTTTAATTTTAATGCCACATAAGCGCCATATCAATGCCACGTGGGACAAAGGCTGGGTCAACACTGTCACGTGTGCGCCATGTCAGCGAAACCGCCCTCCAAAACCACCAAGGGAGTCAAATTGCACCGGTTTTGTAAGTTCAGGGGTTAAGATTTCTGGCATTGCGGTTGAGGGATACGATTTAGATTTGGTGGTCAGTTCAAGGAGTCAAAGTGATCTTATTCCCGGTATGTATGGACAAATGGAGATTTCGCTTTCCCCCAGTTTTGTCATCAGTTCATCACTCATCAGAGGCAGTTCCAACTCCAAGCTGACATCTTCCATTGATCATCATATTGCCCATACATACCATGATCAAGTCAAAGTTGAAGTTACCGGGCAAAGTAAGTAGGAGTAATTTTTTTTTCTTTCCAGGAGACTAGAAGTAACTCAATATCCAAAATATCCATTGATGATCATCTGGCAAAATTGTAAAAAAAAAGTCCAGGACTGGGAGTACAAATCTGGTATACCAACAAATCTATGTACAGTGGACAAACAATCCGAACTCCGAAAAAATCGGTCCCCTCGGCCTCGTGAACGAACGGTCTAGGAACCTTCCGCTGTCCATTCTGTCAGATTCAGAAGGAAGCGGATCGGGTCGAAGCGAAGACCCGCCTCGTCTTCTCGAGATCCGTCCCGCTCGGCAGCCTCCCCATCGCCGGTGCGCTGCCCTTCGCCGCCACAGACGGGGCGTCCCCGGCTATATCGATCCTCACCTCCGGCTGCGCGCCGTCGGCGTCGTACGGCGCCTCGACGTCGGCGCGGCAGAGCGGGCACGTGGAGTTCTCCCGGAACCACGCGTCGATGCACTCCACGTGGAACCGGTGCCCGCACCGCGGCAGCGCGCGGGCCTTGTCGCCGGCCTCGAACTCGGCGAGGCAGACCGCGCAGTCCCCGGGCGCAGCGCCCGCGGCGGCGACGACGACGACGGGGAGCGCGCGGAGCACCGCGGGGTCGAGCCCGCGCGGCGACGGCGCGGGGCCGCCGTCCCGGTCGTCGTCGCCGGCGCCGATGGCCAGGCTCCGGAGCAGGCGGCGTTCCCGGCGGCGTGTGGTGCGGCTGTCGCCGGAGTGCCCCCCACCGCGGCGGCCTCTGTTGCAGAGGTGCAGCACGACGAGCGCCAGGAGGACCCCCGAGAACGCCCCCGACACGGCGAGCAGGACCCTCCCGGCGATCTGGTAGCTCGACGGGTTGTCCACCTGCCCGCCGCCGACGCCGGCGGCCGGAATCGGGAGGTGTTTGTGGAAAGATTCATGGCGCGGGACCTCGCCGCCGCAGGGGAGCGGCGGCTCCTGGGCTCCTGGGTTTTTGTGTTCGCCAGCGCCCATGAGCGCACTGCACTGCACTACCGCAGTTACTAGCTATAGCAATTTCTCGGTAGGTTTGGTGATGTGAGCTAGCAGTGTTTTTTTGGGGCTAGCTCAGTACGTCGAGTTCACTTATGCTTGCAGTTTGGACCGGAATGCCCTCGACAGCACAGCGAGGGAAGCCGAGAAACCCAGAAACCCGCGGGCGAACTGCAGGGGTTGTCTCGGGGTTTTTCACATCCGGCGGCCCGTGCGGGTCACGCTTGGCTTGACTAGGCCTCAGAACGTAGACCGCTCTGCAGGCTGACCGTCCCGTACGTGGTGGAGGTCGAACGGACGGCCATGATGCGTCTCCGGAGCAAGGTAAGCTGGCAAATTGGGCGCTCGGTTCGGTCAAGGTCAGAGTTGACGACGACGACGACGAGTGGCAATCAGGAGTGGCAAGTCTTTGTAAAATTGGGGAGCCGAGCCGTTATTCCACGGCGCGGGGCCGGGGCCCGGGGGCGACTTGACTCGCCGTCGCCGCGGGAAAATTTCGCGGGGGAAGGGAAGGAAACGATGGGAACTGCACGGAGGACGGACGTGGGGCGGTTTCTCAAATCTGTCCGTCGTCGCTAGCGTGCACTCCCTCGGCGTATCGGAGGCGCAGGAAAGTTCGCCGAATCAGCGAGACCGTCATCACTTTGTTCTACGGCGAGCGCGGCAGAGGATGTGTGTAACGCAGCTGCGGACTTATCACACCTGTACTGTACCGATCGACGGAGAAAATATCCAAGCGACCCGTCTTTTCTCACCATTTTTGCTACGCTATGCGCGGAACTTATATGTACGGTGACGTTGGATACTCTTCGAGTGTCACTTTGTGCTTAATAGCGGTGATCTTGAAGAGGCCAGGCGGCCAGCGCAGTTACAGTTGAGTACTGCATTCGATCCGGCCGATCCAGCATCCAGTGATGAAGGATTTGCTGGCCCGTCTCCAGATTATAGCTGAATCTCAGAAGGGGAGATCGGCACAGAAGCGAAGGCATCAGCCGAAGCCGACTGCAGTTGGCTAGCGAAGATGACAATGGTGTGCTGGGCGTAAGTCCGCTGTCAGGAATAATGCACAGTATTGATTTTGTCTTTCATGTATGATCACTCTTTTGTTCCAACAATGAGACCGAACATCACGAATTCGTAATACTTAAATCATATGTACAATCTGAGACAAACTATAGTGAAGTTCAAGTTTAGTTAGGTGAATATGGAACAATCAAATAGTTACCCACATGAAACCTCCTTCCTTTGAACGCACAATATCATGCAACAAAATCACCCTATATCCAACGGAACGGCGAGCTTCACGCTCCAGCTGCTTCACCGATGCTCGGTTGCTTGCTTGACGTGCTGCTCTCTAACATGCTCAGAGCCCTGACGACGATACTCATGGAGGGCCGAAATTCCGCCTCGAATTGTATGCACAGCGCAGCCACAGCAGCCATCTATTTGCCAAACCGAACAAGCAATAAAACACACCCCAAACGTTAATGTGTGTAGAGTAGCTTTTGTCAATTGCTTATTTGACCCCATTTTAAATCATAACTATCAATTTGACCCTACTTTTATAACTACCAATTTGACCCTACTTTTTAGAGTTTGCTTATTTGACCATCATTTTTAAAAACGAAGCTCCCGTCTAACTCTGTTTCCATTATTCTGTTAAGTTTTGATTTAAAATTAAAAAAGAAATGCAACTAATATTCATAATTCCCAGAATACCCTTAGGAAACCCTATCTATCCATCCATCCACCCAACCCTATCCACATTTCTCTCTCTCTCTCCTTGTGGCGGCGACTAGCAGCGGCTGCGCTGATGGCGCGGTGGAGGCCGGCGCCGGCCCTGGTGACGACGACGAGGAGGAGTGGTGGCGACGAGTTCTTCTCCTCTCCTCCACGGATCCACCACAGAGAGGCGGCGGATGGCGAGACGGTGAGCCGGCGTTGGCCCTAGTGACGACGACGACGATGACGAGGAGTGACGGTGACGAGTCCGCGTAGTGGAGCTCGAGCCCTGGTCAGCGGATCCGGCACCGCCGCCACCGCCTCCTCCTTCCTTCTGCGCCTGCGCCAGGGCCGCCGCCATCGCCGCCGCCGCCTCCTCCCTCCTTCCGCGCGCCTACGCTGGCGCCGCCGCATCCCTCATTCCGCGTCCCTCAGCCGCCGCCGTCGCCGCTCCCTCCCTCCCTCCACGAGCCGGCACGGCCGCTCGCTCCCTCCGTGCGCCGCCGCCGCAACTCGCCCCTCCATCTGCCACCACCGTCGCTCCCTCCCTCCGCCCCCTCAGAGCGCCGCCGCCGCCGCCCCATCAGCGCCACCGCCGCAAGTCGCCGCCCCATTGGTGCTGGCTCACCGTCTCGCCGATCCGTGGAGAAGAGAAGAGAAGAGAGAAGAGAGGAGAGAGAACTGACGGGTGGGTCCCACATGTAATAGGGTTAAATGAGTAAGGACAAAAGAGACATTTTATACTTCAGTTAACACCGTTAGATGCCCTTAACAGAACATAGTCATACGGGAGCTTCGTTTTTTGAAAAGAAGGGTCAAATAAGCAAAATCCAAAAAGTAGGGTTAAATTGGTAGTTAGGGTTAAAAACGGGATCAAATAAGCAATTGTCCCGTTGTATAGAGTAGCACTTTGGGAAAGTCATTTCATCCCTTTAACTCTAACAGGATACATCCTCATCACTTGCATACCACTTAACTAGTTAAGGAAAATTCTTTAAAGTTTTGATAGGTAGAACATTGTGTTATACCACTTCACAAACATCAATTTAAAATTAAGTTGTACAAGTTGAGAAAAAAAACAAATTTGACTATGAGTAGAGGTGTAGAGCTCGCACTACCTACCGTAAGTTTGTTATTTCTCTTTCCTTTTTTAAAATCTATAGGTTGCGTTTGGAATTGATTTTTTTTATGATAAGTGACTATATTGTGTCAATATCAGCATATTTTTTTAGAATTTTTGTTGCTATTTGATTTGTTTGATATTCGAGAAGTTAGGATAAATAGGAGGGAGGGGGGGTACATTTAGGGCTGGACGAAAAACTCGTAGCTCGTTAGCTCACTCGGCTCGTCACTAGCTCGGCTCGGCTCGGCTCGTTGTGAATTCCTAACGAGCCGAGCCAATGTTTTAGCTCGTTAGTCATAACGAGCCAGCTCGAGCTGGCTCGCGAGCAGCTCACGAGCTAAACGAGCTGAGGTCAAAAGACAGCCCAACAAAAATATTTGGAGGCCCAGCCCAACTAGACATCAGGTATATATGCATAGAAACCCTAAATCCCCATCCCATTATCGATCTAGATCCTAGCCTACGGTCCCAGCGCCGCACCCTCGCTCCCCCCGTCTCACTTCGAGCCTCCAACGCTCCCAGCGCCTACTCGCCCTCCCCCATCTCACCAATCTCGCGCTGCCGACAGCAGGGTCGTGGCCGGCCGCGGGCTGCCCTCCATATCTCACCGTCGGTCATCGCTCGGTGAATGGCCGGTTGAAGACCCCGAGCCTATATCCTCGCCGCCGTCGGCATCAGTACTGATCTGAGGCCGTCAACATCGAGCAAGCTTGTATTCCAGCCGTTCTGTTACTTCTTTCATTGCCGCCAACACTGAAGACCGGATCTGTTGTTTTCTCTCTTTTTTTTGTTTTATTGGCTTGTTTCATTTGCAATTTTCATAGTTACTATTTGATATTTTGGTACTTCTTTGGGTGAATCGCTGATTGGCTATAGATTGGAACATCATATTATGGATATATGCATTTGCTTTATTTGTTTCTGCCATCTTGCTCACTGGATTGATATGTGCTAGCTGTGTACTGACTGAACCTTGCAGTTTTATTGCTCTGGCTCACGAGCTTAACGAGCTGGCTCGAGCTTTCCAACGAGCCGAGCCGAGCCAGCATCCTAGCTCGTTAGGATAACGAGCCGAGCCGAGCCAGCTCGTTATCCTAACGAGCTAGACCGAGCCGAGTCGAGCTGGCTCGCTATCCAGCCCTAGGTACATTCAATTAAAAAAAAGGAAGGGTAAGCCCATATTACCCCCTCAAATATCTTGTTTGCCTAAAAGATACCTCTCAACTCAATATACAGGTTATTATAGAAAATAATCTCTCTTAGATACTTTTGCACGATTAAATAACCTTAATGGACCCTACTATCATAGATACATATACAGAGATGATTCACCAGATCGTTTGGTCATGAACTGTCTCTAATGGCCCTTGCGTGGTATTTCCTATAGGATACAACTTGCTTAATGCTTATGGTGCTTTATTAGATTCGGAAGTACATCCATAAGAAACTGTACATTTTACTTGAACTTTATTGAGTATAATTCAACAAAGAAAAATTAAAAGAAAGAGTGATTGGTAATCTACCTCTGGTCACGCAAACTTGTTTTGGTTAATGGTCCTTTTAAAATTTATTGTAGTATATTTATAGAACCCAATAAATTGCAAAATTAATTAAAGAAAGTATTTCTTGAGACAACTTTGTACTGTTATTTTCATGTATATAGTAATATATAATTATTTAAAAATGTATGACACTCAAAATTTTGAAAGTTTGAATATAAATATAATATGTCCATAATGGGACTTGTTCGTGTGATAGACTGCTGAGGGTTTTATGTGGATTAACAAGGCCCTCAACTAACCTGCGCTTCCTATCCTCATATCTAACTTTACATGGGAGCTAACCATGAGTTACATGTGCAAAAGAAACCATCTGTTTTTTCAAAGTGAAGAACAGAAACAGATTGTTTGACCCTACAGATAATTTATGCTGACGAAGTTCAGATTCAATGTAGGCAAAACATGATCTCAAATGAAACTTCCCGAAATTCTTATGCAATTATGATGTAAAAAAAATTGTGAAACACAGACAGTAACATCCAGGCTTAGGAATATTATTACCCTGGCAACAGCCTTGAGTGGGAATGCTCGTCCAAGCTTTGGATCTACGCATTGTTTCACCTTGTCTTTACTAAGCCTTGGTGTAGCCTGCATCTCATTATCAACAGGTTAATTAGCTTCTTGATCCTATGAAGAAATTAGATCAGCGAATGCAAGCATGCATGTTTACCCATTTTACAAGGCTCATCTGGCCACGCGGAAGTGTATGATCAAATACTTTGCGACCAGTTAAAAGCTCCAACAATACAACCCCAAAGGCGTAGACATCGCTCTTTACACTATACTGTCCTCTCAACCTGCACCTAGCAAGAACCAACGAAGGAAAGAGCATATCAGTAGGAGGTAATGCATGCCATTTCCAAGCCAAGGCTCTAGTGTAACAATCTGAAAGCATGGAAACACTGTGTTGCATACTCTGGTGCTTCATAGCGAAAAATCTGTGGAACTACTCGTGTATAACTGTAATCATAATCTTCAACATGAAGCTGCTTCGAGACACCGAGATCACCTATTTTCGCAACATCATTGCCAAAGAGAAGTATGTTGCTGGACTTGATGTTGGTGTGGATGACAGGAGGCACGGCCTTCTCGTGGAGGAACTCAAGCCCTTTTGCAGCAGTTATAGCAATCTTCACTCGCTGCACCCATGATAGAGGTGGTCTTGCTTGGGCTCCTGTGACACCTTCTCTACCTGCAAATAATCATAAACTCAAAAAAATCAACTGTACTCGCCAGGTATGGTAGATTAAAAAATATTCCACACATCAAAAAGTTCAATTATATCAACGAAATATCATATTGTTTCAGCTATTGACCTACTGTCTTTATGTATTCCTTACCATGAAGAATATCATGCAAGGAGCCCTTTGGTGCATACTCATAAACAAGAACATGATTTTCCCCTTCAATAAAATACTCATGAATTTGGACAACATTGTCATGCTTCAACATTTTTGAAATGGTCGAAACCTGCAAGACACATGGAATTCAGAAAGAAATCCTTGCTTCTAGTACTAATGAATGAAGCACATTAGCCGAAAAGGTAAAAGGGAAAGGCACGCCCCAGGACCTGCACTATAGTTTCTTCATTAGGATTGAGCTTCTTTACTGCAGAATTTTTTCCATCTTTAAGCACTCCAAAGAAAACTTTAGCGTGTGAGCCTTCTCCTATTAGGGAATTGTTACTGAAGTTCCTAGTTATTTTCTTCAGTATGTCCAGCGAAATGGTCGACGCAGAAGTTGGTGGAGAAGGAATTTTGACATCATTGTTGACAGGGGTAGGGGCTATGTATTGGCTAGGTCCATTATCGCCACAATCTGCATTGAAAAGACAGAACAAGATTTAACAGGCTAAGTTGACTGCTGCCCAGGAGTATTATTATACCTGAAAATTTATCTGTCACTATTTGATTTACAATGAGTATCATTATACCTGAAAATTTTGGTATGAGAAAACCTAAACCTTAAAGCTGTTGTTGTTATGGGCTAGGGTTCATAAGGGGATAAACACCGTCGGGAAGATAGCCAGGTGACAGTGGCCGGCGGCTGCAAGGGATAACCGGATGAGAGTGGGACTTAGGTTGGGGGAGACTGATTCTAATTCATCATTTAATCCAACTAATGATACATTTCATCCTATATAGATGGAGGGAGGACCCAATCTAATCCAACGGACTCTAACCAACCAAGCTACCGTACTGTGTGCAAGGGTATTATTATTAGGTTGCCTTGGGCCTCGGCCTCTCCGGCCAATGTCAATATTTTTGAACAATGAATTATGGATGAATAACAGCTGTCACTAAATGTCAATATTTTCTTCTGTCATCACAATCATTTACCATCTTAAATTTATAACAATTTACTAGTAAAAATAATAAAAATATATGTATTATAGAGGTACTTCCTCTACTCAATTTTATAAGCCACATGCATGTACTTCAAAATTTGTATTTTTTTTACCTTTATAGGCTACATATATACTTCACGGTATAAAATGTTACAATTATATTTGGGATTTCAAAGTTCTTTTATATGAACAAGGTTTTTGTAGCTATTAGCAGTAGAAATGTATGAGAAACATATGGTCAAGTTTCAGTTTCGAATACTGCAAAGTTAAATCGTGCAAAGGGAGTATTTACCTTCACACTTTTCTACTTGACGTTTTGAACATTGACACGGTCTCCAATGCACATGTTTCATCATTATTTTTTAAACTCGTATTTATAAAATTATTAAGTAGTTGTATGAAAGTATTTTTTGTGACCAATCTACTGATATTATTTGCTCTTATCAAATCCTAATATTGTTGCAATTCATGATTTAAAATTTTGAGATTTGACTGCAGATATTCTAGATCATGTACTTGAGAATGGGGTACAATTTTTCAAAGTACTTTTTGTTAATACAAAGTGGTTAAAGTCTTAAAATTTTGATTGCACAGGATTCCATGTGTTTTTTCTGCAACTTACTGGTGCAAGATGTATACCTTTTGCTTGTGGACCCATGAGCTTGCTTCTGATACTCTGAGCTGCAGAGATGATCCGGAGACGGGAAAGAACATCACTCATTTCTGGTCGCATTTGAACATCAAGTTTTAGGCACTCAACTCCAATAGCAATGGCTTCATGAAGGAAACACTTGCCTTCCTCGTCATAAACCTTCTTGACAAAAAAGTCTGTTGCACTATGGTCTATTCTGTAAGTATCAAGGAAGTCTGTCGTAAGCATATGAGCCTGTCCACCAGACTTGTATTTCGCTGTCTTCCAAGTAATGAGTTCCAAAAGAACAACTCCAAAGCTATAAACATCAGACTTGGGGTTGAACAGATGATCAGAAACATCCTTTGGGTCTAAATAATATTTTTGTGATCTTTGGTCATGAATACAATCAACAGAGGCAGTACATTGTTGCACGGCGCAAAGCCCGAGAAATGTTGATAAGTTGGCATTGAAAACTTTTGGCATGAAGTTCTTGTCTAGAAAAATATTGGCTGACCTAAAATTTCCGAACAGGCTTGTGCCACGCGATTCAGGATTTTCAGCTAAAAATGAATGGATATGAACCAAGCCCTCTAAACACTGGACAGCTATTGACAAACGTACATGAAGAGGAAGTTTTTCCGTGGAGCAGATGATCTCATAAAGGTTTCGGTTAGAGAAGGAAATATGGCCATTATTTACCTGGGATAATTCACAGCAAGATTCATACACGCACTCTGAAATGTATTCCCCTAAATGAAAGCCAGCAACATTAGCGACATTTTTGTGATACTTCTGGCATAGTATGCCCATAGTCTTCAGAAACACTTCTCGGTCGGTTTTTGAAGATGTACTCACTTGTTTTACTATAACTGCATGAACCATGCCAAGAACTCCATTGTATAGACGTTCATGGAATTCTTCCCTAAAGGTCATGCTGTAGTTTCTTGTCATATGCTTAATTTCCTCTTGTTTGAAGATATTTAGATTGCCAAATTGGCGTCCTGCTGAGCCTTCATTCTTTGAGGGAGTTGAGTTGTTTGGTGTACTTGTATGTTGCTGAGTCAGATTCCCTTGTTCTCCCTCCAGATCTTTCCTAATCATTCTTAGACTGGTTGCTACTTCAACCATTTCAGGGCGCACTTTAACATCCCTCCTCAAGCATTTAACTGCCAACTTCCCAATATCTTCAAGGAAGTTCATGTTTTGTTTATCGTTGATTTCCTCATCAAACAAATTCATCACTTTCTTCCCTTTTTCAATGGCATCAGTGAAACTTTGAGCAAGGGTGATGGTCCCATCCACTGCTTTCTTTCTGGTGATTATCTCCAGCAAAACCACTCCAAAGCTATAAACATCACTCTTTGGGGTTAGAATTCCATTCTCGCAGAATGCAGGATCAACATAACCTATAGAACCAATGATATTTTTGGTATGTTGAGCCCCATTAGCACAAAGCAATCTTGCTATTCCAAAATCAGATATCTTTGGTGAGTGGTTTTCATCTAACAGTATATTAGCAGGTTTCACATCACCATGAAGAACAGGACTATACATTGAATGCATGCACCATAGCGCTTCAGCAACCTCAATAGCAATGTCTAAACGTTTGTACAAGGGGAAAGGAACACACCCCTTGGTGTTGCTGCAGTGGAGGACATTGTCGAGGTTCCCATTACAGATAAACTCCATAACAATCATTAGAGCATTTTCCTCCGTGCAGCAGCCCAAGAGTCTAACAACATTCTTGTGATTTATTTGAGAGTGCACTATCACCTCCTTAGCAAATTCCTCTTTCAGGTTCCCATGTATGTACCGCTTAACAGCAACAGGGCATCCGTCGTCTAGAATTCCTTTGTAGACCTCACCGAATGCTCCCTTTCCCAGCATGATGCTATACCCATTGGTGATGTGCCATACCTCATTTTTCGTGAAATATCTCAGGCTATAGTTGTTGTCCACTCTTTGAAGAACCACATGCCCATTAGTCTGAAGGAAACTTTTGAGATTATTCTCTTGGCAATCCATGCGTAAGCCAGCTGAAGAATTGGAAAGCAACAGGTGGTTGCCTGCCTGCATAAACAAGGTCAAAGTCATGTTAGTTTGTGAGTTGGAACGAATCATTTTATTTGATTCACTGAAGAATGTTAACAATGCATAACATGCCAGGGAAATTGAAATGCCAAACTGAATTCCAGGACATGGATAACATGCCAGGTTGTCCTGTGTAGAATACTGAAGAATGTTAACAATGCATTATTTGATTCACATGATAGTACTTAAGTTGTTCTCTAAAAAAAAAAATCAGATTCTGACGATTTTCGACTGGAATTGCTATACAGCACCAATATAACAGTGAGCCTTTTTCTCCCTTCTCTGGAACTGCTATACAGCACCAATATAACAATTTCTCACCATGGGATAACATCATAGGTCGTGCATTGGCCAGCCCTTCTTCGACTCCGGCGAAGAGTATGGCCACCGCGCGCGCGCGCCGCGCATCTCTCCACCGCTCCACGTTCCGGCGAACCCGCCTCCAACGCCACCACAGCTGAGGAAACATCCACTGCATCTGCATGCTCACTCTGACTTAACTAACTGGCACTCGTCCACATTCTTTTCCTTGCAAAGAGAAGCGCAGTAAGAGCCGCCTTCCATACCCTCTGCCGCGTCGGCCTTGGAGGCGGCAGAGGGTCGCCGGAGGTGATGGTAAAGGATACAGTTGAGTAAGACGGCGGAAGAGTGGAGAAGAAGGCAGTGGGATTGTTGCAAGAAGAGGGGAATTGGGAATTTGGGATCAGGCGTTACATGGGGATGGGGAGGAGCCGAGGAGGGTGAAGATTAGGGATGGCAACGGGTCGGGTCGGGTCGGGTACGGGTAGAGCAAAACCATGCCCGAACCCATGCCCGTCGTCGCCCGCCCAAACCCTACCCAGTAGGATTAGCGGGCAAAACTCTGTGCCCGTACCCATGCTCGACGGGCACGGGTATACCCGGTGGGTACCCAATGGATCTCACATGAATAGTAACTCGAAAGATACATAATTTAACAAAGAGAAATAAAATCAATAATTTACCAAATTATCAGTTATCAACAATAATTTGAATGACATCACAACTTATTATTAGTTAGTATCACAAATGAACCAAGAGAAATGAGTATAAGAATTAAGAGATAAGTCGAAATTAGCTAATACATATGTATCGGGTCGGGCATGGGTTACCCACAGGCAAAAAATGAAACCCGACTGTTGCCCACGATGTCTACGGGTTTCGGGCGGGAGTGCCCACGGGTAAAAATCACACCCACGCTCGTGCCCGTTGGGTCGGGTATCCGCGGATACCCAGACCCATGGGCAAAATTGCCATCCCTAGTGAAGATATTGAAGAAACAACTTGGAAGGTACGGACAGGTGTTAAACATTCGAGAGGCATTAGAGTTTATCCGATTACCCAAAGCTTTTTTTCTTTAAGCCTTATCGGTTACCCATATTTTCTAATAAGCCAAAATAGTTTATTAGAGAATAAAAATTAATTTATATATATATATATATATATGTTCCTAGCGACTTAAAACTCAATATTAAAATATTACGTTGAAAATATCTTAAAATTGAATTTGAAAATTAAAAAAAAAGCGAGGAAACTAGCGTGGAGCTCCTACATTTCACTATAAAAGAAGAGAGTTGATCCAGTTTAAACTGGATCAAAAACCTTACAACGACACGATTAATTTATGAAAAAATGGCAAAACCTGGCATTGATATTTTGAACCTAAGAACAACAATCCAATAAAGAAAAAACTCCTAAAATGAAGTCTTCAAGAAGAACACACTGACATCTCTCGACCCAAATAAATTTAAGGTTTTCACCCAAAGAAATCCCTTGGTGTGGAGTTGAATGAGGGCTCCAATAGCAACACCTTCAATAAGGTGAATAGCGCCCAAGAGCGTCATCGTTGCTAACACCGGCAAGCCAAGCAAGGCTTTCACCTCGGAGTCCCATCCAACCATAGTGTCCTCGGAGTCCCATCCAACCATAGTGTCCACAACGGAAGCCACCAAATTCCACCTGTACGCCGAAGGTACCTGCACTATGCATACCACCATATGCACACCGCAACGACATGCATAGCCCGGACAGGCGCCGTTGACAACCTACTCTACCGTCTAGCCGAACCGTCGGCGCCATCAGACAGCCACACAGGCTACCCAAGATCCACCGAGCGACCCCATCGTTGTCGCCGCCACGGGCCCACGGGGGACCAGCCTCGCCCGACCCAGACTAGGATGCGCCGGATCTAGACCTAGAGGGGCAAGATCTGGCCATCCCCCTTGCTGCCTTCACCATCGCCACTGGTCGCCGCCACAACAAGGGATCCGGCCTCTCGCGTTGGAGAGGCGTCGGATCTTGACCTAGGGTGGCCAGATCCGGCCGTCCCCCTCACCACCTTGACCGCCGCCGCTGGCCCTAGAACGGTGGGAGGCTGCCAGCGTCGGACGTGGGGAAGAGAATAAGGCTCAGAACCGACGTCTCCCGAGTCGCCTCAGATCTAGAGAAAAAGAGGAAGGGAAAAAAAAGAGGGAAGGAAGAAGGGGAAAGGAAGAGAGAGGGAGAGAGAGGAGGGAGGCCTGCTGCCGCCGGGCACCACCGCAAGGGGTGGCGTTGCTGACAGTGGCGAGGCAGGCGAGATGCGCTAAGTAGGGCCTTGTTTGGAAGATTAGCCCAGGGCTAATTTTGAGAGCTAATGTTTAGTCATGAATTGGTAGGCTAAACATTAGCCTAGGGTGGCATGTTTGGATCCATGGGCTAATTCAAGGCTAAAAGGTGGAGAGAGAGAGTAAAAAGAGAGGAAAGAGAAGGAGAGAGGAGAGAGAGAGAGCTGCTTTTTGATGGTCCCCACACAAAATTAGCCCCATTAGCACCCCTTGGAGGGGCTAATGTTTTGAAGGAGGCTAATTCACTTTAGCCAAGAATTAGCCCACCTGTTTGGATCCTTGAGGGCTAATTCAAGGCTAAAAGGTGGGGACTAATGTTTAGCCCATGTTACCAAACAGGGCCTAGGTGGGGGAGTCGGCTTTCGCCTCCCAGGTCGGTGAGAGAAGCGACACGGGAGTCAGTTCGACAATGAAAAAAAAAAGGCTTTGGCTTGTTAGGCCAGCCTAAAGTTTGAATTGTTTTATTTTTATATTCATGAATTATAATCTGGGATACCTTTTTATTACTCCTAAAGTTTTAGTTTGAGCCATCCTTTTTATCCAACATTTTCTGTTTTTGTTAGGTAATTTTGTCTTTGTGTCATTTAGGACCACCACATGTAGTTCATTCTATGTCAAAGGTCACTCTACATACATTTTTGAGAGTTCATTGGAGTGCAAAAACCAGTTTAGTCGAGCTCATCGATATTGTAAACACTTTAGCTAATATGTTTAGGATTTGGCTAAAGGGTTTATAATCTAGACTAAAGTACCAAATCTTTATAGGGATTGCGGTGTTGTTGTGGGCAATGTGGATTTGTAGAAATAATGTGGTCTTCAATGGCTCCAATTTTAACTCTTACTTGCAGGTTATTTTCAGGGGAACATACTGGGCTCGACAATGGTTATTGTTGCTTAAAGAAGATGAGCACGATGTGATGAAGGAAGGATGCAAACTGTTAGAGACATCTGTTATGCACTTCTTTGGTAAAGATGGATGGAACCAGTGGCGAATCCAGGATTGAAATAGAGGATAGGCTCAACATCGAAGAACTAAAGTTAATTTACGGGGATGTGCTAATTTCTTAAACATAAAACAATAGAAACAAAACACAGGATCCTTTTGGACACTAATTTTTCGAATTCCATTGAAATGACCTTGAAACCTTACCATCTAATGTCTTCGGAAAAAAAATATGGTCAGGTACTCTATTTGGAGCATTCGATAAATATGCCATCCTCACTTCATCTGTTATGTCAGGAGAAAAAATAGTAGGCATTCTTTGTGCGGGATCAGCAAAAATTTCATTACGATCAAATTGTACTTGAGGCTTCTTTGGTTGATTTGTGCTCTCATCACTTGGAATTGGATGGGTACTACTTAAATTGATTTGCTTGCATAATTTAACAACGTTTTTTTTTTCTTCTCCACTGCAAACCTAAGGATAAATCAAAACTATGAATCATGAAGCTCAAATCTTGTAAATCCCATCATCTAGCTGCTGCTGTTGAAAACAGAGATGAAGTGATGACTCACCGCTAGCGGCTTGACGCTTGCTCTGCTAGCTGCTGCTACTTGCCCCACTGCGACGATGCCTGATGCCCTTTGATGGATGGATGGCCTGATGGCCAGATCTGCTAGCTGCTTGCCCCTCGTCGCCCGGTGCGCCTCTACGGCGCTGCGCCACCGCCTGTATCTGCCTGCCCGTGCACAACCTCTGCCTGCGCCATGCTGCTCGCTGCCGCCGCCGCATCGCCGCCGGCCCGCCGTCGCCGGTCACGCCGCTAGACGCTAGGTTGGTGGCTTGTGGCGGCTTGCGTGATTGAGGAAGCGAGAGTCGAGGGAATCAGCGAGGCGGAGAAGATGGGCTATCCATGAAGTGACGATGTCAACTGGGCCACAATTGGGCCTAATACTATTTTTGTGCGTGCGTACCGCTTCGCTGGCCTTCTTTCTCGACGCCAAGCGCTGCCGCTGTTCATCTTCTTTCCCGGCGAACGCCGCCATGATTTCTCCCGATGGTTTGTAAGATGAGCTATCTAGTTAAAAAAGTTTCGCAAAAATTGGAGGGGGGCTAGAGCCTGATGGAGGCTACCTGCTAGAATCGCCACTGGATGGAACATGAGAAAGCAATTGAAGGAGTAATATGGTCGTTAGTTTGTTTGGACGGTCTTTTCACTTTGAAAGGCTTTGGAGTTTTTGTGCTCTTTTTAGTTTTATGTAAGGTGCTTGAGCCTTTGTGCTAATTTTGTTTGTGAACTTGTGTGTATGAAATGAGCTTGTTCGCTCGAATTTTTTTGGCTGTATACACCCCCGTTAGTGTAGAAGCCGGGTTTTATAAATTCCTATTATCTAAAAAAATGCATGCAGGACATCGTGCAGGAGCTACCGAGCTAGCATTTGATCTTTCTAATTCCAATGGATGAACTGAATGGCCGGTGCAATTAATATTGGATCGGTATCAGGCTTTACAATTCCGACGAAAACTAGTCAAATTCCACGAAATTTCGAGGTTTCGATGAGGCTCGAAAGTAGAAGCCATTTGAGATTTCGATGAGTTTCATCCAAATTCAAAAATTTGAATTGATAAAAAAAGGAAAAAAATCAAAAAAATTTTTATAAATAGTATGATATTAATAGAACCTATTGGGATATAAATTTTTGAAAAAAATGATGTATTCTGTGTATTTACTCAAATTTATGAAAGAAAAGAATAACAAATTAAAAAAGAAAATAATTTCAGTTTACATTTTTTTTTACCGATTGAAATTTCGATAATTTCGCTAAAGCCGACCGGTTTTCGCAAGCTTATCGTTAAACTTAAGGAATTTGTATTCAAATTTTAGTTTATGAAAATTGTTCATAATCTACCGGCTTTCCACCGGATTTCACGAAAACCGTCATTCCGCCAGAGCCCGGATTTCACGAAAACCGTCGTTCCGCCAGAGCCCGAAACGGAAGGCCATCTCCGAATCGTAAATCCTGATCGGTATTCGATCGGCTACCAAACCAATTTCTCGTGATATATGCCCATACCACATAAGATGTACATGCGGTTAGACCAAATCTCCAAACCCAAATCACCGATGATACGAAATAATCATACCAAGAAAACATAAATATGAATGAACGAACGGTGAACAAGATATGGTATGGAGGACAGAGTAAACTGCTCTGCCACGATGATGTACCTACTGTCTTCTCGTACATTAAGCCTAGCTCCTGTTTCGGCCGCCGCCTAGCCTGATCGGAGACGGAGATGGAGACGACGACGGTAGACGCAAAGTCTTGCGCCTTGGGAATGGCGGACAACCGGAATACCGCCACAATGATGGTGGCTACGCATATAAAGGATAGTCAAACCGTTATATATTTTAGATAAATTAAGTCTGCTTAGTGGGGAGGACTGCATTAAGGATGAGCTGGGAGCTAACCAAACTTGACTTGGGAGCCGGGGCCCTGGGGCGACTTGACTCGCCGTAATTTCGCGGGAAAATTTCACCGCGGGAGGGGGGGGGGGGGGGTTGGGACATGGGGCGGTTTCTTACGTCCGTCGTCCACTCCTGCACAAACCCTCTGCAGTCTGCACACCCCGTTTACAACCCTAATAGTTTTGGGTAGCAAATCGGAGCTACGAAGCGATCTTTAGTCCCGGTTAAAATCACCTACCGAAACTAATTTTTTTCATTTTTTTTTGCATATTGATTTCTAACCAAACTCAACAATAAAATCATTCACATTCAGAAAACATCACAAAATCATCCACAAATCAACAAATTCATATAAACATCACAAAATTATCCATATCCACATGTTAAGGATAAAATTAGGTGTTTTTTCACGTCAACACCACATCACAAATTTACAGATCCAAACACATCACAAATCAACAAATTCATAGATAAATCAATAAAATCAGCAAATTCACATATCCAAATGCTCGTCGCCTCCTTCGCCGCAGGGAAGGGATCGGCCGGCGGTTCACCGTCGTCTTCGGGGCCGCGTCGGTCGCCGCCCGCCGTGCACCGCCTCCCATCCCACCACCGTGGCCACCCACTGCACAGGCCGTCGCCGCCCGACCACCTATCACCCCTGTCGTCGCATGTCGGGCACCGCCGCCCGCTGAAGGGGAGCCAGAGGGGAGGAGAGGAGAGGGGAGGGGGCCGGAGGAGGAGATGGGGGTGAGAGAATGAGGGGGAGGAGAGGAGGAGAAGGAGATAAGGTTGAGAGGAGGAGAGGAGATAAGGAGAGAATAGATTGGGACAGTTTGCTTTTTTTTTAGCGCGCGGCTCAAGGCAACTTGCTGATTTTTTCCCCGGTTGTTTAACAACCGAGATTAAAGATAGTAGAGGGGTCTGATATCGTCTATCATATTTTGAACCGGGACTAAAAATAATCTTTAGTTCCGGTTGAAAATAAAAAAAGTGCCGTTAGGTTTTTGAGTCGGTCTCGGTTCCTATTCAAATCGAGAATATTATGGTTTTTGGCCAACCTGACAGAATGTTTCACCGGTAGTGTCGCTAGCGTGTACTCCCTCGGCGTATCGGAGGAGCAGGAAAGTTCGCCGAAATAACGAGACTGTCGATCGTCGTCCCCTTGTTCTACTGCGAGCGCGGCAGAGGATGTGTGTGCACAGCTGCGGACGTATCACACCTGTGTACTGTACCAATCGACGGAGAAAATATCCAGGCGACCCGTCTATCAGCTAGCCTTGCTACCATTTCTGCTCCGCTATATATGCGCGGAACTTATACGTACGTTGACGTTGGATACTCTTCGAGTGTCACTTTTTGCATATAGTAGCGGTGATCTTGAAGAGGCCAGGCGGCCAGCGCAGTTACAGTCGAGTACTGCTTACAATTTGATCCGGCCGATCCAGCAGACAGTGATGAAGGATTTGCTGGCCCGTATCCAGATTAGGCTGCGTTCTTTTTCCACAAGGTTCCCAACTACTCTCTTTCATTTTTCACGCGTACGCTTTTCAAATTGCTCAACGGTATGTTTTCTTTTTGTAAAAAGTTTCTATACGAAAGTTGCTTTAAAAAATCAAATTAATATATTTTTTAAAAAAAGCTAATACTTAATTAATCACGCGCTAATAGACCGCTCCGTTTTCCGTGCGGTGGAGTTGGGTTCCTAACCCAAGTATCAAACACAGCCTTACACCGTGTTTAGATCTAAAGTTTTTCTTCAAACTTCTAACTTTTCCATCACATCAAAACTTTCCTACACACATAAACTTCAAACTTTTCCGTTACATCGTTCCAATTTCAACCAAACTTCCAATTTTAGTGTGAACTAAACATAGCCTTAATGCATCAACCGAAGCCGACTGCAGTAGGCTAGCGAAGATGACAATGGTGTGCTGGGTGTAAGTCTGGCAGTCTGCTGTCAGGAATTATGTACAGTATTGATTTTTGTTTTTCATGTATGGGCTGTGTTTAGTTCACGTTAAAATTGAAAGTTTGGCTGAAATTGGAATGATGTGACGGAAAAATTAGAAGTTTATGTGTGTAGAAAAGTTTTGATGTGATGGAAAAGATGAAAGTTTGAAGAAATATTTTGGAACTAAACACGGCGATGGTCACTCTTTTGTTCCAAAAATGAGACCGATCATCACGAATTCGTAATAATTAAATCATATGTACAATCTGAAACAAACTATATAGTGAAGTTCAAGTTTAGTTAGGTGAATATGGAACAATCAAATAGTTACCCACATGAAACCTCCTTCCTTTGAACGCACAATATCATGCAACAAAATCACCCTATATCCAACGGAACGGCGAGCTTCACGCTCCAGCTGCTTCACCGATGCTCGGTTGCTTGCTTGACGTGCTGCTCTCTAACATGCTCAGAGCCCTGACGACGAGGGCCGAAATTCCGCCTCGAACTGTATGCACAGCTCAGCCACAGCAGCCATCTGTTTGCCAAACCGAACGGCCATGTTTAGTTCCCAATTTTTTTCTTCAAAAACATCACATTGAATCTTTTGACATATGCATGTAGCATTAAAAAGAAAAACTAATTACACAGTTTGCATAGAAATTGCGAGACGAACCTTTTAAGCCTAATTAGTCTATGATTAGCTATAAGTGCTACAGTAACCCACATATGCTAATATCGGATTAATTAGGCTCAATAAATTCGTCTCGCGGTTTTCAGCCGAGTTATGAACTTAGTTTTTTCATTCGTGTCCAAAAACCCCTTCCAACATCCGGTCAAACGTCCGATATGATACCTAAAATTTTTCTTTTCGCGAACTAAACAGGGCCTAGCAATAACACACCTACTACTAGAAAAAGCATTTTCACATACGATGGGAGATTTTTTTTTTCCAGACGGATATGACCATCGGAGCTAAATGTCCATATAGGAAAATGTAAACCGGGGTGGAGCTCACCGTCCGCCTGCGAAAATCAATTTTTCCAGGCGGACCACTTAAGAGGTCCGCCTGCAAAAATACCTTTATTTTCACAGGCAGACCTCTTAAGTGGTCCGCCTGGAAAAATATGATTTTTACAGGTGGAAACTTATGTACGATTCTTCTGCAAAAACCATGCCACCAAAAATATATCTAAGTTTCATTCTTATCCTCTCCTGCACCATTCTTATCCTCTCCCCACCACTCATTTTCCTCCTACTCCTCTCTCTCTCTCATTTGTTCACCACCACCACCAAATCCACCGCCGGCTCAGCTCCTTGCTGCCTCCGCCGCCAGCTGCAACGGTCCCCCTCCTCACTCCCTCCGCCTTCGCCACTGGCTCGCTTGCCCTCTCCCGGCTAGGCTCCTCCCTCTCGCGGTGACGCGCCACAACGACAACGACGGTGCCGCCTATGGGTAGGGGGAGGAGACGCGCGACGGCGGCAACGACAACTGCGGCGACGACGATGACGCCGATGCGACGAGGACGGCGCCTGTGTGAGGGCGGGGACGGAAGGAGGAGAGCTGCCGGCTGGAGGGGGAGGCCGGCGGCGGCGCCCGTGTGCGGCTTTTTGTTATTCGTTGAATGTGTTTTTGCAGGCGGGTAAATCACCGCCTGTAAAGAGGAGATGTCGCCTGCGTCGCAGGCGATTGCATCCAGGCGATCCTTTCCTCCGCCCGTGAAAACTGTTTTTGATCGTCTGGAAAAATGATTTTGAGTAAAATGCACTAGCGGTCCTTAAACTTATCGGGAGGTTTCACTTAAGTCCACGAACTTGCAAAGCGCACATCGAGGTCTCTAAACTTGGTTTATTGTATCATCCCGGTCCAAAGCCACGTTTGATTGTGGTCTTGCCTATGTGGCACGCCACGTGAATGATGACATGGAATTTTTTTTATTTTTTTCTCCCTTCTTCCTTCTTTTTTCACCACTGCGACAACCCCTCCCCTCGTTCCGCCTCTCACCACCGAGAAAAAAGAAGGAAGAAAGAGAAAAAAAGAAGGAAGAAGGGAGAAAAAAATAAAAAAAATTCCATGTCATTATCCACGTGATGTGCCACGTAGGCAAGACCACAGTCAAATGCGGCTTTGAACCGGAATGATATAATAAACCAAGTTTAGGGATCTCGATGTGCACTTTGCAAGTTCGTGGATCTAAGTGAAACCTCCTGACAAGTTTAAGAACCGCTGGTGTATTTTACTCAATGATTTTTCCAGTAGTGACCCCAAAAACGTTAATGTGTATATAACTTGGGAAGGAAACACACTCTACATTTGTATAGAGTAGCACTTAGGGAAAGTCATGTCATCCCTTAACATGATATACCACCATTACTTGCATACCAATTAATTAGTAATGATTTTTTTTAAAAAAAATTGCTAACGTAATTCATTATGTTATATCACTCCATAAACATACAAGTTTAAAATCAACTAGAACCTGGGGCGTGCCGTTGGCGCGCCACCTGAGCGGAATTACGGTGGGCAAGAAATGGGTAATTAGCAAAGACGCCAGATGATGAGATATAAATGTAAGTATTCTTTGGTGTTAAAAAAGAGAGCAAGAAAGCAGGAAGTGAAATAGAAGTAAACTGCAGTGCCAAACAGTTATAGGCATACCGATATCTAGTAGTCTTTAGCAGCAACATGGATATACACAGACGTTTCTTAAAATGTCCAAGCTAGTGCACTATGGATAGTAAGCACCTAAGGTGTAGAACTAATAAGCATGGTAACAATTCCAGGGGAGGGAAGCGGCCGATCCTGATAGTGATCAGCTTGTTTACTGGCAGCAGAAGCATGATCATAAGATAGCTATGAATGCCCATATGGTCTTCACAGGACATCAATAGTAACCTCCAGGCAGGTTGTCCTGTAGAAATGGAAGATGCAAACTGATCCGAGAGCTATGTCATCTGTGCTGCGAACTTTGTCCACCCTTTCTTCAAGTTGCAACGGTCATCTGTTGAAACGTGGAGGATCATGCTGGTTGAAATACCTCCTGCTACTTGTACTTCAGTGTCGACGGTTTTTTACCTTCCATTAGCGGTTTTATGTAGTTCTGTGAAAATTCCTTTGTAAAGTACTGTAATTGCACGGTATGTTAGTTCTTTATTAGTGGTAGAAAAGCAATATTATCATGAATGATAGGGGTGGGAAAAATAAATAATTGTTGCAAGAGCTTACAACTCTATCTTGCTTGATGAATGTGCTGTTGATGGTTACAGCATAGAAGCTGCTTGAATGGTGTAGGAACCGCTTAATAGCTTCGATGTACTTTTTTAGATCAGTTGTGGGCTGGACATTTTTTTTCGCAAAAGCACAGCTCCCTAAATGTACGCCCGCGGTTACCTGCACGAATATATTTGTATGTGAGTTTTCATTGGATGGGAAGATGCAGATGATGTAAATGAATAACAATGTCTATAGATGTTCGTAGGCATTGCTAGAACGTGTAGCACTGAAGCGACTTAGTGAATATCTTCTGTTGTTGGTGGGTGGTAGGGCTGAAAATTTTATGAGGTCATATGCTGCAGCACTATATGATAGATGTAGACCGTGTTTCAGCACAACTTTGTCCGTGGGAGATCGCTATGCTAAAATGCGAGTGACAACACTATAGGGAGTCTTTAGTAACTGCCTTTGTGTTACTCCGTATTTTGTTATTTGTAATTGTTTGTATTTGATTATATCCTGGGAAGAAAGCAAATCAATTTAGATAGAAAGAGAGGTTAGGTATACCTGATGCCTTGCCTTTGGAATATGAATCGATTTTCAGGAGAGTTGACTGTCTAGAAATAGCTCCCAGCTGTAACTATAAATCTATGGCAGAATAGCAAATTTACACTCCAAAGCAAACTTTACCCGTAATTTTAGCTTATTCTTGTCAAATTCAGGACGGGAAACTATAGAGTTCAAGTACTATATATTATTTGGTGAAAAGCAAGGAGAAATGCAATACTGAAATACATGAGTTATGCTTTGCAGTAAGCTATACATAGGTGATAAGTTAAGTATAATTATTTGAAAAACTACATTGTTTCACCAAACAATCACAAATCAACTAAGTTGAGTGCAGTCCCACTAGATTTGAGATAGAATTTTAAAATCTAAAGATTTTGAGTTTTTATCTTTGGAAGCAACATCTTTGGAGATAATAGCATATATGAGATTTGTCAACTTAGAGTGTACAGTTTGTATGCCAAATACTTAGCATAAATTTAATTTAATAAAGATGAAATGTCTGAACTATGAACAAATTAAATTTAAGCATGGAGAAAAAAGACTCAAGATGATGCTAAATTAGAGGGCAGTAGTTCAAACACCTATACTTACATGTAGATCAACATCCACTGTAATGCAGTACTCTACACCCTACCCGGGCATGACTGCCACAAAAATGATTGTCTCTGCAGCCAATTCCAGATATCCTTCAACAAGATCTTAAGTAATCGACATATATTCCAAGATATTTCACTGTTACAGACTAAAAAGCAGATTGTTAATACTGTACTCCGCCAGTTAAAGTAACTTTTTATTGTAGTACATCAAATGGCAATTACCAATTTCATAAAGTCACCATGTCCTATCCTCTGCATATATAGCTCTATCGATTATCCCACCAGATGTTGAACTGTGAAATAAGATAAAAGGTGAAAATTTCAGATTCAGTGAGCTCAAAGGACATAACCTTGTTCATCACATTAGAATATTGAAAGGGTTTCTGAACCAAAAAAACATTGTGTAAAACAAAAACAATTCAGAGCACCTCACTTTTTTCAACTGAAAAAATATCCATACATTTGTTCATATAAAGTCAATTATTAATAAGATTGCAGTGGAATCAACCTACCGAAACACCCTTTAGGATCAGAGCTGCCAGGCCAAGTCTCCTGCACACACATGAAGAGGAATCAAACCATAAGGAGGCTGCTTCCCAATGCACACAGTACAGAAATAGCAAATTCAGGTAATCTTTCTATTAGAGCATCTCACCACCGGCTAAAAGGATAACGGCTAGCTTCCCCTCCGAAATGGCCTTCAGCCCCTTGTTCCACCACCGACCTCTCCTCTACCTTCAACACGCTGGACTCCGACACCAGCTTGACGGTGGGCAAAGGAAGCCTGCACTTGGAAAGAACATTAATCACACCATAAGATTAAGGCAAGTACTAAGAAAGTTTCACAGTACGGTTTTATCATCTTGATGTAATTGACTGAGTTCTGTAAAGCTTTCATTATCCAAAAAACCTAAGGCAAGTGTGATGACAAAATTATAAATAACTCTAATGTTCTACATTGGAAAGACATTTTTTTTTTCGCATGAGGTGATCCAAGGGAGCGCTGGATGATCCGATCAATCCTTGAAAGATCTAGGCTCTGAAAAAAATGCATTATATGTAGGTCCATTAGTCACTGTTGAAATGGCTAGCTCAAATGACAACAAAAACATGCTGCGGGTTTCTCTTGTGCTATTTTGCAGTGTAAACAATGAAGATTAAGACCCATGGAGAGCAGATAAATAATTGTTGATAGTGACAACAAAACTGTGAAAGTGTGAAGTAAATTATCACTGGAATCCAAACTCCTCTTCCCACGAACCGTAGTAAAACTTTCAATTGATAAATCAACTGCTACTCCTACAGAATTCATACTTAGACCAAAACCACATTCAGGACCAGAGCTTTCAGGCAGAATTCCGGCAAAAATATCAAACTTTTATACAGAGTTCGTCCCTGGCAAATAGAAACGGACAGAAGCTCCCGATTGGAAAAAAGTTACCAACGCAAGAAGCAACATTTGACGCAAAATTCTCCCAACCTGCAGCGCATTGGGCTTACTCACCTCGATATCCCTGACGAGCAGTTCCAGGTCCTCAGGCGAGAGGTTGTCCCAAAGCGTGAACGCCCTCCTGCCCGTAATCCTTCATCCTCTCCAGGAGCACCTGGGCGACGCCGCCCCCCACCTCCCCACCGGCGCCGAAGCCACCGACCCAACCACCATCTCCTTCATCTCCTCTCCTCGCCCAAGAACCGCAGAACCCCCAAGAAAAAATGTGGTTTGTGGGCGGAGGCGGAGGCGACGAGGACGCGACGGCGGCGGCGCGAGGGAGAGGCGGCGGGGGGACGAGAGGGAGGAGGAGAGGCGGGCGGCGGCGTGAGAGGGAGAGGGACGGCGCAGGACGAGAGGGAGGAGGAGTCGAGGAGAGGCGGGGCGGAGGCGGCTAGGGTTGGGGCGCGGGTTAGTGCGCGGAACTTTACGAAAAAGCCCCTCGACCTTCGATTTTTACAGCGCAGTCCTATTTCGCGTGTTTCCCCTCCCCCGCATGTAATATCCAGATTTTAGAAGGGCCCTTACGTAGAATATCATCTCAGGGGCACTGTTCGGCAGGAACCTATTTGGGATTACGAACAAACCGGAGGGCTTTTTCGCAAATTTCCACCGCTCGCTGTAGAGAAAATCCGACGTGGCACGCGCGAGCACTCGCCGCTGGGGGGTGCTGATACGCGATCAGCCGCGCGCGCGCGGAGGCGCGCGGTCAGTCACCCCCCCCTCTAACCCCCCCTCTAGTCTCTCTCATAGGTACTATATACATCTTATGTATATACGTATATATTATATACTATATATATACACGTGTATATATATATATACGAATATATTTTAATGCATAAAAAATATATACACACATACACAAAGTTTGTATAAGCGTATATAAATTTTGTATATGTGTTTACAAACTTTGTATACGCGTATAGAAAGTTTGTATACATGTATAGAAAGTTTGTATACGTCCATAGAAAGTTTGTATACATGTATAGAAAGTTTGTATGCACATATAGAAAGTTTGTATGCGCGTATAGAAAGTTCTATTCGTACGAATACAAACTTGGTGTATATACGAATACAAACTTGGTATATATACGAATACAAACTTTGTATTTATACATCTTTAAAAAAAAGGAAAAAAACCGAAAGAAGATAAACCGGAAAAAAACAAACCGAACAGAAAAAAACCAGAGAAAAAAACCAAACAAAAAACCGAATGAAAAAAAACGAACATAAACGAAAAAAGGGAAAAAAAAACGAAAAGCTCGCTCCCTCACGGCGCGTCGCCGCCCCCTCTCCGCGCGCGACACGTGTCCAGTCGCGCGGGGAGGGAGGCGCGCGACTGATCGCCCAATAGCAATCTCGCTCGCCGCTTGCGCCCCCTTAATATACTCCGTTTTGTACAAATTGAAAAGTAGAACAAAAATCTGACTATAAATAGTGCTCACACTACCTAGTATAGAGTTTAGTTTGTTCTCTCTCTCTTGATCTATAGGTTGAGTTTGGAATTTTTTTTTTTATGATAGTGACTACTGTACCAACATCAGCATTTTCTTCAGATCTTTTATAACTATTTGATTTGATTGATATTCGAGATGTGAGAACAAATGAGGGCGAACAAATGCAGATCAAATAGTTTTAAAAAAGAAGGATAAGTCCATTTTTACCCCTCAAATATCTTGTTTGTCTAAAAAACTCTCTGAACTCCCCAAAACAAGGTATTATAGAAAACCATCTCTCTTAAATGTTTTTGCACGATTGAATAACCTTAATGGACCGCCTACTATCAATAGACACGTTGGCACTTGGCAGAGATGATTGACCAGACAGGTCTGGTCTCTAATGGCCCTTGCATGGTAGTATTTCCTAGTATACAATATGACTTGCTTATGGTACTTTATTAATAGATTCAAAAGTACATGCTCCATAAGTGCATTGTACTTGAACTTTAATTTTCTTGAGTATAATTAAACAAATTGTTTTTTTTTTAAAAGGACGGTTGGTAATCTACCTCTGGTCACGGTAACTTGTTTGGGAATTGGGATAATGTCATGGTCCTTAAAAGATTTATTGTGGTATGTTTATAGAATCCAATAAAATTACAAAATTAAATAAATAAAGTTTTTTTAGACAATTGATTTTCATGTATCTAATACATAATTATTTAAAAATGTATGACACTCAAAATCTTGAAAGTTCCAAAAGAAGTATATAACTATGTTATTTTTTTTCTGAAGTGAAGTATAGAAATTTGTTGGTTAGAATGCAATACATATTCTATTTAGCAGTTTAAAGTCAATTATGACTTAAAAAATAATTAGCCATGAACCGGCGGTCCGACCGGTGAACCGACGAGCTCACCGGGTCCGTCCCCGGTCCGGTTTTTTCCACTATGCGTGTGACCAGTGAGGGTTTTATATGTAGAGATTCACAAGGCCCTGGCCCCCTACTTTGTTGTTCTTCCTATCCTCATCTCTAACTTTGCATGGGAGCCAACCTCGAGGTATATGTGCAAAAGAAACCACATGTTATTTTTTTTAAAGTGGAGAACAGAAACAGATTGTTTGACCCTACAGATTAGTTTTCCTGACGAAGTTCAGATTCCATGGAGACAAAACATGATCTCACATGAAACTTCCCTTAAAATTATTATGCATCTATAATGTAAGAAAAAACGGCAATACTAAAATGCACAATTCATTACTTTAGAAAATAAAGCACAATTCAAAATGTAAACTATACACCACAAAATCTCAAATTGTTTGCGAAACACAGACAGTAACATCAAAGCTTCGAATAGGAATATTATTACCTTGGCAACAGCCTTGAGTGGGAATGCTCCTCCAAGCTTTGGATCTACGCATTGCTTCACCTTGTCTTCACTAAGCCTTGGTGTAGCCTGCATCTCATTGTCAACAGTTTAGCTTCTTCATCCTATAAAGAAATTAGATCAGCGAGTGAACTTGTTGCATGTGTACCCATGTTATGAGGCTCTGCTGGAAACGCGGAAGTGAATAATCAACTACTTTGCGACCAGTTAAAAGCTCCAACAGTACAGCCCCAAAGCGTAGATATCGCTCTTTACACTTTACTGTCCTGTCCTCCTACACCTAACAAGAACCAACGAAGGAAAGAACATATCAGTAGGATAATGCATATCATATCCAAGCTTAGGCACTAGTACTGTAAGAAACTCAAGCATGGAAATCTTTCATTGCATACTCTGGTGCAATTGCATCATAGCCAAAACTGCGCAGAGGATATAGTCGGGTATTGTAGTAGTCATTATCACTTTCAGGATAAAGCTGCTTGGAGACGCCGAGGTCACCTATTTTTGCAACATCATTGCCAAAGATAAATATGTTGTTGGACCTGATGTTGGTGTGGATGACAGGAGGCACAGCCTTCTCGTGGAGGAACTCAAGCCCTTTTGCAGCACTTAGAGCAATCTTCACTCGCTGCTCCCATGATAGAGGTGTTCCTGGCTGGGCTCCTCTGACACCCTCTTGAGTAATGCAACAAGCAATTCAACACATAAAGTAATGTAGTAAAAAAATCATATTATTTCAGCTATTGATCATAATACAGTAAGCAAGCAAGATAGGAATATGTCAAAGTAAAAATCTTTTGTTATTCCTTACCATGAAGAATATCGTGCAAGGAACCCTTTGGTGCATACTCATAAGCAAGAACACGATTTTCCCCTTCAATAAAATATCCAAGAATTTGGACAATGTTGTCATGCTTCAACATTCTTGAAATGGTCAAAACCTGCAAGACACATGGAATTGAGAAGGCATTCCCTTGCTTCAAGTACTCATGAATAAAGAGCATCAACTCAAAAGGTGAAAGGCAAGACATGCATCCATGACCTGCACTACAATTTTTTCATTAGGATCAAGCTTCTTTATTGCAGATTTCTGCCCATCACTAAGCTCTCCAAAGAAAACTCTGGCGTCTGGGCCCTCTCCTATTAGGGCATCATTACTGAAGTTGCTAGTTATCTTCTCCAATATGTTCAGGGGAATGATCGATACAATAGTTGGTGGAGTTTTGACAAACTTCTTGGTAAGGGGAGGGGCTACATGTTGGTTTGGTTTGTTGTCACCACTAGCTGTATTGGAGAAACCAAAAGAATAAAATCCAATAGATTAAGTTAATTGCTGCTTACAAAATTCGTATTTTGTTAGTTGTACTCCATCCAGTAAAAGATACTTGACATTTGAAAATTGACCTTTTTTAATGTCTTTAAAGTGCATCTCTTAACAATAATTTTATGCTACCTCCCTTTCTGAAGAGTGCCTTTTTAGCTATAAACATGGACAACACAGTCTAGGTTCATAGCTAAAAAGGAATTTTTTTAGGAATGGAGGTAGTAAAATACAAGTTTATGAGATTATGGAAGTACCTTTCTGGACAACCAGACAAATCTACACATGTCATTTTAATGTTTTTAAAATAAAACTTTTAAACATCAAAGTTTTAAAATTTTGACTGGATCGTATCTAAAACGTCCAAGTATTTGTGGCTAGAGGGAGTGCTACTTAAGTACTTAGCACAATAATATTTATATTTTTGCAAACAAGGTGCACATTTAAATTCATCTATCATAATTTCGATTAAAATGAGTATTGCTATACCTGAAAATTTGATATGAGAATAATACATCTTAAAGAACATCACCGCTAAATGTGATTGGTTTTTCTATGACAGAATTCATTGTCCATTTTAATTTGAGTAAATTTGAAACCAAAGGGAGTAATAATGTACAAGTAAAAAAACTAAAAACAAAATGTATAATGGAGGTACCCATCTGTTCGATTTTGTAAGCCATGTAGACACTTCAAAATTTGTAAGTTTTTACCGTTAGTCAAGTTACATATATGCCTAGTCATATTAAAATGGTACCATTAGATTTGTATTTCAAGTTGCTTTCATATCACACCATGGTTTTGTAGCTATTAGCAATACAATGTGTGAGAAACTTGTAGTTGAATTACAATTACAAAGGCTGCAAAGGTAGTATTTTGTAAGGCATTTTTTTCATACAATAGTGGTTAAAATCTTAGAAGTTTGACTGCACTATGTTCCATGTGATAAATGTGCAAATTTATTGGTCTAAGAGGTGCAACCTTTTGTTTGTGTAGCCATGATGAGTTTGCTTCTAATACTCTGAGCTGCAGAGATGGTCCGAAGACGTGAAAGAACATCACTCATTTTTGGCCGCGTCTGGACATCAGTTGTAAGCACTCAACTCCAATAGCAATTGCCTCGTGAATAAAACACTTACCTTGCTCATCATAAACCTTCTTGCCAAAAGATATCGCTGCACTATGGTCTATTCTATAAGTATCAAGGAAGTCTTTGGTAAGCATGTGAACTCTTCCACTAGACATGTATCTCACTGTCTTCCAAGTGATGAGTTCCAAAAGAACAGCTCCAAAGCTATAAACATCAGACTTGGGATTGAACAGCTGACCAGAAATATCCCTTCCATCTAAATAATATATTTGTGATCTTTGGTCATTAGGACGATCGACAGAGGCGGTATGTTTCTGCATGACTGAAAGCCCAAGAAATGTTGATAAATTAGAATTGAAGACTTTTGGCACGAAGTTCTTGTCCAGAAAAATATTGATCGACCTGAAGTTTCCCAAGAGGCCTGTAGAATGTGAATCAGGATTTTCAGCTAACAATGAATGGATATGAACCAGGCCCTCTGCACACTGGACGGCTATTGATAAACGTAGATGAAGGGGGAGTTTTTCCCTGGTGCAGATAATGTCATAAAGGTTTCGGTTACAGAAGCAAACATGGCCGTCATTTCCCTGGGATAAATCACAGCAAGATTCATACACACACTCTGAAATGGAATCCCCTAAGTGGAAGCCAGCAACATTGGCAATATTTTTGTGATACTTCTGAGACAGTATGCTCATAGTCTTCAGAAACATCATTCTGTCACTTTCTGAAGATGTTCTCACTTGCTTTACTATAACTGCATGTGTTGTGCCAATGACTCCATTGTACAGCCGTTCACAGAACTCTTCCCTAAATTTCATGCTGTAGTTTTTTGTCATAAGCTTAATTTCCTCTTGTTTAAAGATTTTTAGATTGCCAAATTGCTGTGCTGATGACTTCACATTCTTTGAAGGAATTGAGTTGCTTGGTGCACTTATGTTCTGCTGAATCAGATTTCCCTCTTCTTCCTCTAGAGCTTTCCTAATCATTCTTAGACTAGTTGCTACTTCAACCATTTCAGGACGCACTTCAACCTCCCTCCTCAAGCATTTAACTGCTAACTTGCCAATATCTTCGAGGAAGTTCATGTTTTTTGTATTGTTGATGTCCTCGTCAAACAAATGCATCACCTTCTTCCCTTGTTCAACAGCCTCAGTGAAACGCTGAGCAAGGGTGATGGTCCCATCCACTGCTTTTTTTCTGGTGATGATTTCCAGCAAAACCACTCCAAAGCTGTAAACATCACTCTTTGGGGTTAGAATTCCATTCATGCAGAATGCAGGATCAACATAACCTATAGATCCAATGATATTGTTAGTATGTTGAGCCCCATTAGCACAAAGCAATCTTGCTATTCCAAAATCAGATAGCTTTGGTGAAAGATTTTCATCCACAAGTATATTAGCAGGTTTGATGTCACCATGGAGAACGGGATTATACATTGAATGCATGCACCAGAGCACTTCAGCAACCTCAATGGCAATGTCTAAACGTTTGCCCAAAGAGAAAGGAACACGTCCATTTGTGTTGCTGCAATGAAGGATATCATTCAGGTTCCCATTACAGATAAACTCCATAACGATCATTAGAGCATTTTCCTCCGTGCAGCAGCCCAAAAGTCGAACAACATTCTTGTGATTTATTTGAGAATGTACTATCACCTCCTTGGCAAACTCCTCTTTCCGGGTTCCATGTATGTATCGCTTCACAGCAACAGGGCATCGACCATCCAGCATTCCTTTGTAGACTTTACCGAATGAACCTTTTCCCAGTAAAATGCTATAACCACGGGTGATTTGCCGTATCTCATTTTCCGTAAAATATCTTAGGCTACAGTTGTTCTCCACTCTTTGAAAAACCACATGCCCATTTGTCTGAAAGAAATTTTTAAGATTATTGTCTTGGCTATTCATGCGTGACCCAGCAGAAAAATTGGAAAGCAACAGGTGGCCTCCCTCTGCATAAACAAGGCCAAGTAAAGTTAGTTAGTTTACTTGTAACTGATTAATCTAGCATCTGAAAGAAAGGTTATATGCAATGCCAAACTGAACTCGCAGACATGGATAACATGACTGACTGTTCATGTTTAGTGTAGCATATAATGAAGAATGTTAAGAATGCATGCAACAGTTGATTCGTAAGTGTTACTTCTGCCACGTTTATCATAGCACTAGACTTGTTCTCTCTAAGACATCAGATTTCTAACAATTTTCTGCTGCTCTAGAGATGGTATTCCGGTCTGATGTCTCACCATGGGATCGACATCATGAGGCGCCTCAGCCACCCCTTCTTCATAACCGGTGGCGAAGAGTGCCACCACGGTAGGCGCAGTTGGCCACGCGCACGCGCAGACGCATGACTCCATGTCCCCGGCGAATCTGCCTCACCTTAGCCCCCGCGGAGGATGCCTCCACTGCATGGTCACTCACTCACCAACAAATCCACCTTCCATAAGCAAACCAACCGTCCGTCCGCCTGGCGAGAAGGATGCCGGAGATGGAGAAGTCGCCTGTAGAGGCAGCATAGGGTTGTCGGAGGCGGTGGTGAAGGATAGAGCGCGAAGAAGACAAGGGGAAGAGCGGAGAACAAGGCGCCAGCACCAGCGAAGCACCGTGATGGAGCTCATGGAGGCGGCGTAGTTGTTTGAAGAGGGGAATTGGGAGAGTTTGGGTTAAGGCAGTACTCCATGTTAGATTGGGTAGGTGAAGAAACAGGTGAGAGGGCACAGACAGGGGCTGTGCTAAGCATCAGAGAGGAATCCTGAATCCTGATCATGCCTACTGTCGTTAATGCTAGTAACTTCTATTATCAAAGTTTTTATTAGCTTTGAAAGGCTTATATTTTTCCAAAAACAATTACTTCGTCCATTTCAAACTAATTTTTTCGTTATCTTTACCTACACATTAGTAACGTTTTTGTCGTCTGTTAAATCCGAGCCCTTCTTCGACCCCATAGTGTTTTTGTCATCCCTCGATACGCTCCCGCTCCCACTCCCTCTGTCATTGATCTGTAGCGATTTTGGTTTTGTTTCATGTCGATTCGATTGTTCCATTTTCCTTTGCAAACACTTTCAAGCGTATAAACAATTGGAGAAAATTCCTTACATACTCACGAGTTTTCACTCAATCTCTTATATGCCCCTGAATTTTACTTCATCCTTAGTACGCTCCAGATTTTTTTATCCTTCTATACCCTTGTCGTGAGTTGACTATGAATTGACCATTAGATTTATCCCAAAATGACTATATTACCCGTACTTTATGGTACCTACTTTAAAAACAAGTCCTGTTATAAAAATAATCTTAATCTATGATAAAAATCAAAAGGGACATATTTGACACCGGATTTCCAAAACAAAATATAAATTTTCAAGCTTTTTTTAAAAAAAAATGAAATACACAAGAAGTTTTATTCGGAATTTGAAAAACCAAAATTGTTTCTTATTTGGGTTTAAATTTCAGTAAAAATTTTGAACAAATTTCATCAAATCTAATTTGAAACTTATTTAAAAGAAATCTAAATTTTAGTTATCAAATTTATGATAAAGTAATTATGTCATGTTTGTTTTTATAAATGAATCAACTTTTATGTTGAGAAGGGTGTTTTTCTTCAATCAACTCTAAGCAATAAGTAGACACAAGGGTGATATAAACATTTTTTGAAAAATTAGTCAACTCATGTAATACGCATAGGGGATAAAGATGAAAACCCAAGGGTACATAGAGGATAAGGCATAATTTAGGGGCACATAAGGGATTACGTGAGAATTTATAGGTACATAAGGGATTTTCGTTAATCCCTTGTATACCCCTAAAATTTTAGCTAATTCCTTATATGCTCTTGAATTTTGCTTACTTCCTTGTATGCCCTTGAAATTTGATTTTGATGCTTTCCATACCCTTCCCCTCAGTTGACCATCAAATTTATATAGAAATGACTATTGACAGTCGTTAACGATCAGTTTCAACAGTCAATACTACCAAAATAAAGGAGAAATAGTGTTAGAATAATAAATATTCCATTAGCACTAGGATTACTAACCTCTTGCAGAGAATAAACATAAAATAGAGGAGAATCAAAATCAAAACAGACGATCAATCAATCAGATGATGTCGGAAATCAGATGAATGGGCCAAGAACTCAGAAATGACACGTTGAATTTTACCAAAATCCACAAGTCTGTGACAGGGATCAAAAGAGGAGGCCACCTACTGAAAATAGGCTAGGAAGGCCCAGCCCCTGGTTCAGCCGAACCCCTCCCTGGCACCGTTGGATGCAGGGTTTCTTCTGGACGGCGTGGATCGCTCCCCAATGACGGTTGGAGGGCAATTCCGACCATTCCAACTGCCACAACCGTCATTGGCAGCCTATTTAAGGAGCTCATCTTCTCACTTTCTCCACACACCTCAAGCAAGCTCTCTCATACTCTCTCAAACTTAGTTTAGTATTCTCAAGCTAGTGGAGTAGGAATAGAATAGAAGTATGAGTTCGGAAGTCTTCGGAAGAGTTCGGGTATAGCTCCAGTAGCTCTCCTTTCTTCTTTTGTAAGACTTGTACTTTATTTAGAATATTCTTCTTTATACAACTCTGGTGTTGTAATACTTTTTGAGTATATGAATACCAATTTTACTTTATATCTGAGTTATGTTGATTATACTTCTAGCTTATCTGGGAGATGCAACGGTACGTGTATAATGTTTGCTTATGTAATTATTCTATGTCATGACGATGATATTAGAGTAGTATTTGGTAGTTTAGGCGTGGTGTCTAGATTACTAGGTAGCATTATTTGGGGTTATATGCTGCGGAAGAGAGGTGGGCCGCTGATGGTGACAGCTCGGTACGGGTATTCCTCCGCGCGTGTATATAGTCCTTAGTTAATTCCCTGGGGAGGGTATTCCTTCGTATTTAGCCCCGGTTGTATGGTCATGATGGGCTGTCGTAAGAAACTCGGCAGTAGGGGGTGGCTTCTCGAAGTACCAGGAGGGCATCGGAATAAGGGTATTAGCTAGTTAATCTTATAGCTAGGATGTATGTATATTATGTATACTAGAAGTATAGGAATATATTCTTTTCTATTTTCTTTCCACTTAGCTCGGATAATTTAATATGAGAGTGAATAGTCTTATGCTTGTGTATCACTCTACCCTCTGCTTATATTAACCCCCTGCTTAGACTATGGTTATTACAAGTAATATATAAATTATTAGTACGATTCTCTCTACTATAATCTTTCCACGGGATAAACAAATACGATACCTTTGGAATACTCTCGGGTAAAATGCTACAATGGTATATCCGTGCGCTTGCGGATGAAATCTATAACCATAATATACCAGGAGTATTTCTGCGCCATTGCTGGGAATTATATTTCTAGTAATGTCGTTAAGTAATACCAACAATGACCATTTTACCCTTTGAATGAGCATAGAAATTTATGAATTACATTATTGAAAATATAAAAGTTTGTCGCATTAGACTATTATAGATATGTGTTTGTTGTGAGATACATTATTTAGGATAAAATTTATTTTAGATAATAAAATAAAAATATGTATTTATTTTATTTTTAAAAAAGTCATAAGAATGAGGAGTATCCATAGAAAAGATAGGACTACCAATGCCTATGATATTTTTTGATGAATGCCCCGATAAAAAAATTCATTGTCCTATTAAAATTTTAAATAGAAAAAATAATTTATTACATTTGTTTTATTTTCAAAATTTATGGCAAAATTTTATGCTCTAATTATTTAGTCTCATTGGTTTCATAAAATGCATATATCGTGTACTCAAACAAAATTTTCAATCGTTTTTCAAGTTTATATTCAAACATAAATCATCAAGGGCATAAAAGATATTTGCAACCAAACTTAACAGTGAAACGAAGGAAAATGTAACTGCAGAGGCATGGAAGAGGATCAAGTTAAAATTTCAGGGGTATCGAATGGATAAGGTAAATTTCAAGGGTATGAAAGGGATTGTGTTTGTTTTCAAGGGTATATAGAGAATTTAGTCTAAGAAAATCTAACCTGGTTTATATTTTAGCTTACTTATTTTATTTTAAATTATCTATTCACCCTCATCAATGTCTAAGTGACCCTTTCAAAGGTAGATCGACGTCTACCCATAGCCATTATACCTTGACACCTTTGATATCTTGGTATCATGGTACCGATATCATTTCTGGTATCGACAGTATCATGTGCGGTATAAATAGTTATCAACCAGAAATAGCTGCTAAGAGCAGGTATAATAGCAGACTATAAGCCAGCTATAAACATATTTTAAGAAGATAAAAAAGGAGAGAAAAGACAGCGGGCTACAGATTTGTAGTCAGCTGCAGTACAGACTCTAAGACGCATGTGTATATAATAGGTGGGACCAGATATTGATTGTGTAGTAATAGGTGGGACCAGATATTGATTGTGTAGTATATGTTTATATGTAACTATTGTAGAATTGGCTATTAAGTTATAGATGATTTATGGCCAGCAGTTAGCTCTACTATTAAACTTGCTCTAACATCGTTATGACACGAGCATCGTAAAAGCTCACATCACCCTAACAACATCCCGTCTCCCTAGTCTCCCTCTTTCAGCAAATTTATTTATTAATTGTGAATTTAATAAATCTTTGTATTATACTCCCAACTTTCACAAAAGTTACACTATTATTTTTATCATCAAGATCAAAGAAAAATTAACTCATCTTGCACGTAACAAGGACCAATGAGTGTATGCATGCATGCAACCAATAAGTATTAATATAGCTCCTCGGGTTCGGGTTCTAATCTAACATTTAATTTACCCCTCAATTTATGTCATGGATGTATAGAGACTAGAAATAATTTATTTGGAAACACTAAAATATGAAATAAGTCTAACTCTTATGGATGGATGGAGTATGTTGGTAGATCCATGGAAGTATTCCTTCGATTTTCTATTTTCTGTCCCCTGTTCCGCTATTTCAAGTGTGGTACTTAATCTCTCCCTCTAGATTCTTATATAAAAATTTTGATTTATTTTGGAAGAGATGGAATAAATCCTATGAAAATTGAAATCCTATAATTTCTTATAGAATTCCTATAATCAAAATAGCCCAGATCATCCTTCTAATTCCAATAGAGGAATTGAACGGCCCGATTCAACAATGAAATGATGAATTGATACTCCGGTCTGGCTATCAAACCAACTGCTCGTAAACAAAAAAAAGAGGAAAAAGTACGATACTCCGGTCCGCCTCCGGCCCCTCGTCCTCGCCGCTGTGCGCGTGAGAGAGAGATGACATAGAGTGAGAGTGAGAGTAAGAGAGAGAAGAGAGTGGGTCCCACATTTTTTTTAATGAATAGAATGCTGACCGGACTGCCACGCGTACGCCACGTAGACCAAAACCACCGCGGATTGTGTCGAGAGGGGTAATTCGTCCGGTTTGCATAGTTGGGGGTGAGGAATGTCCGGTTTTGTGGTTTATGGGGTAATTCGGTTAACAACGATAGTTCGGGAGGGTAATTCGTACTTTTTCCTAAAAAAATCGTGAACTATCTCTATATGGTTATGGTCTTGCATATATGTTTGATCATCCTGTTTTCTTCAAAATCTCGAAAGTCAATTTCAGATGATATGAAATAACCATACCAAAGGGCAAGAAAACGTAAGCGAGAAGAAATGAAAGCGAGGGAGATATACGGATTTCAAAGAGTAAAACCCTGCCATGCTGACGAGTTGAACCAGGGTATGTTTAATTCACGTTAAAATTGG